GCACATACAAAGATTCGTACACTAAGTGTTAATGTGAATAAAGATTTGAACTTGAGCACGCCACGCCTCCCATCTTGGTTATTAATAATAATAATAATAATAATAATAATAATTATATTAACAATAATAATAAATTATTATAATTATTATTATTCCCTTGTCCTTAAATCATAAATGATAGTTTTACTAAATTCCAACCACAATTTTCTTTTAGTAGACAAATGACCCAACAACTTAGCTTGCTGTGCGTGTTAATTATCGTATTTCGCGATCATAAGGCCAAAAAAATTGTTGTTTGCACTCCTCCACCTGCCCCTAACTCACTGCAAAATAATAGGGGCGGGAAAAAAAAGCTTAAAAAAAGGCGTTTTTTGAGCTTTTTTCTTTACAAATAAAAAAAAAATGTGAGTGAATTTATCTTGATTTTTTGCCAGTTGCCCTACAAATAATAGTCTAAAGTTGTTGTTTGATGTAAGATATTACCTTTCTAGGCCTTTGAGGGTTATTTTTATTCCATCTGATATGTATCTTAAAAAAAAAAAATTTTCCGCAATTTTCCCTTTTTATCATTTAAAAAAAAATGGCAAACAAACAATTAATTTTTTTAGGCCTAATATTACAACTATCTCAAAAATGAAGATCGTAACCTTGAGGGTACATTGACATTAGTCAATTTTACATGCTGGCCTATATAAAACCAGGTAGACTAGCCTGTACCTATTTTTTTTTTATGCTCACGCACGGCTGGTTCATCACAATTTTCTAGGCGGTACTTTCTAGGCCTACGTTTAATGCCCATTCCCCCGAATCAGATGTGTATATTTGGTTGACTACAGTATAAAAATTTAGATAAAGAAAATAGTTCATCATATCATATTAAAAACAAAATATGCCCCTAAATTGCCATATTCTTACCCCTGTGGAACACCTTCGAAAGAAAGATGCCCACTTTTTTCGTTGGGTACATCGGCCCCCTTCTGAGACATCGGACACCCCGTCGGGCAAATCCTGATTACACATACACACATCTCTTACCTTTTCACCTCGTAAACCTACACGTCCTGGTAATCCCTTTTCTCCTTTTCTGCCCTATCAGTAAAAAAGATATAATTACTGTATGAACGAAATTGTAATATGGAATGTATTATCACGATCATTATTGATTGCAATAATGAAATTATGTGGCTGATGATAACAGTAGTGATATTTTATTAAATATTCATATACACAAAAATAAGACAAAAATAAGTTTACTTTGAAGTAGTAGCGGGCCACTGGGAAAGTTTTAGGGTACTAAAGGGTGCGCTCGTTTCACGAATAAACATGATAAAGTCATCAAAATAAACGCGGTTAATTGAATGAACAAACAATTATTCATGACCACTAAAAGAAGATAGGTTGCATGTTGCGATCCTGTATTTGTCAAGGTCCCCGTCAATAACTGAGATGACAAAGGATATGTAGGCCTATTCCTATCGCCGACAGCTTATGGTAAGAAGGTGTGATGGTGGTAAAACGTTTATACCATGCAGCGTTCTACGGCACTTCCATAGGTCCCAGGAAAATTTGGTAATTACGGACTACGAAAATAAGATCCATAAGTAAATAGGTCTACACAGTCGAGGACAATTATTTTTCAATCACAACCTTTGGCAATATTGCTCAAAGACGACTCAAGACTTGTCATAGATTATTGATAAATTATTATGAAAACCAAGGAAACTAGACCCGTAAATCTTCAGCCTGTCCGGTTTGCTTAAATTTCCACTGCTGTTGTTAACTGCACCTGTAATTTAAGCAACCCATGCTTTGCATTAATTAACAGGTGCTACAGAAATACTTTATTTACTACAAAAATTGGAAGACTAAATAAAAGAAAATCGCTTCACCAATTATTTATATATAATTATTTGAAGCAGAACTAATTATATGTATATAATGAAAAAATGTTGAATTATATATTAAATAATTAATTATATGTATAAAAATTTGTTAAATAATCAAAGTACATTTGGCACCTCATAGCATAGGGCCTGGGCCTAATGTGCTGTATTGGAGATAACGTAATAATTTAGCGATCATCTCATTAACACTTAACATATACCGTAGGCCTAGCTAGAATGCATTCTGCCGCACCTTGCTGTGTTCGATGGGCATGGCTAATGAATAACAGTATAATTATAAATAATTATATAACGACATTGTAAATAAACACACACTGTTCCTGTTGCCTATGTTTATTTTCATTGTATTTATTTCTCTTGACTTTCAGTCAATCTGTGATACTGGATAGAAGAGTTAGTTCAAAAGGAAGATTTGCTACGTAAACCATTAAAAGTTTAGAGCCTATCCAGTTAATATTATTATTATTATTATTATTATTATTATTATTATTATTATTATTATTATTATTATTATTATTATTATTATTATTATTTTACTAAAACCTTAGAGTAAATTAGACAATGGAGAAATTACAGAACAATTAAAAATGATGTTAAGGGGAAAATAACATAAAAGATATTCCTCTTTAAGTCTGATTTAGTGAAATTATTAATATTATTATTAGTAGTAGAAGTACCATACCTACATGGTTGTAGTATTGTTAAAAAGCTTTCAAATTAAAAGATTGTACGTTTAACAATTATAATTCCAATAACACAGGCTTCTTTTATATGTATGAAAATTGGTTTTAAGTTTATTTAAAACGTCAGACACGCCAAGCCATCTAACAGTAAGAAGAGGCGCATGCTGCACCTATTCTAGGAAGCTGTCCCAACAAATGAAAGGTAGACTACAAAACGTTGCCAAGAGCTTTGTGACTTTGTGTTTATGTAATATGTAAAACAACAAGATGAAAAAAAACGATCATAATTACTAACATTTACAACACATATTTATTAGGATAATTATTGAAAGCGCATAAATAAAATTATTTCTAATCAAACTAGTATAGTACCAATCTCTAAGTAATTCAATTATATTTCATAATTCAAGCATTAAACAAAATGCTTAAGGAATTGCCTTGTCTTTACATGAGTTTGTCATGTTAATTCCTTTTCTACCATTTTCATAATAAATTAATAGAATTATACACCTCACTTGTGAGCAATTTTCACCAATTACCACTTTCTTTTAATTTATCAATATTATTTCTTTTCTGCTGATTCTGTGCCAGTTACGCCACGCGTATTGACTTGCTGAACAGGCAATGACTGATAAGAAAATCAGCCAATACAGTTGTAAGCAGGCTCAATAGTAGTTTCCTAGATACAAATGTTATAAGCCAATTATAAACTTAGCAATTTATTTGAATTGTTGCAATCATCTCGAACAGTTAAGGTTGGTATAAACAATTTTAGCAAACAGATGCTAAATAAAATACACTCAAATATTTTTCTGGTTTTTTTTTTCATATGGGTAAGCAGTGCATCCTTGATGGTCCGCCACTGCCTGGAAGTTTGATTTGAAAAAACTAAATGGGTCATTTGAATCTTACCATTTCACCTGAAGGTCCGTCTTCCCCAGCAATTCCTTCCAATCCCATTGTCCCATTTCTTCCTGGTGAACCAGTATCACCTGGGATACCAGGTATTCCTCGGGCTCCATGTAATCCTCTAGCACCTTCGTAGCCTTTCACTCCCTAATTTTGAAATTAAATTAATGTTTTGTAAAGGTTTCCATGGCAAATAAACACAAATACAATAATTCCACTTTTCTTTGTACATCATGTTACTATGTGGAAAAGAAGTCAAGCAACACCTTGCTTGATTGTTTGACAGTAGTTACATTATTTTGTAACGCCATAGCATATATGTATGTATGTGTGCATGTCTTTGTGTAATATTTTCGTATGTATCCAAAATTCAGTGTGGCAACAACTCATTTCGTTTGAGCCAAGTCCTGGTCATATGATTTCACCAGATTTTGAGATTATCAGACAAAAAGTTGTTAGCTTTGTATTTCCACAAATAAAACATGTATTATTTGATTTAGCCAAAAATGTTATAAAATATGTTTTTTGGTACTTTAAGGTCACAACATTATTATAATGTATGCTCAGACACATCATTTGATAAATAAGTTTATTAGCTTTCATATGATACCAAATATATTTAAATTGAAGTTTTAGTAATAGTTAACATGAAAATACCCTTTTGGGGTAAAAAAAAATGTAAATTTGCCATTTTTGCAAGAGATAACATTTGACATACTCTAACTCCGAAATACAAAATGGATAATGTCTGAAAATTGTATAGCTGTTTTATTTTGTATGTGGTCAGAAATTTGTGTCAGGAAAATGTCATAGGAGTGATGTTTTGCCCTAATACTCAGTACGTTCCCAAATGCATGTGAATAAAATTTTGAACAATAAAACGGCCAGCGAGGAGAGGAGTAATTATTGATTACTGCATTGATTTAAAATCAGATGCATATTCAGGGATGTCCAGGCGGCCTGCCACCCTCCCCATATTTTTTTCCCTAACATTATGAAAGAAATTGGAAAAAACAAATTCTATTAAAATTTATGTCTGAGGGTGCCAGTTCCGGCCTATCTATAGGTGTTATAATCATCAATTCATATTTTCTATGCGTTTAAAACAAGACTAAACGCAAAATGCCATGAAATACATAAATAACGTAAGGCTGACCAAGTAAAAATGCACAGCAACTGCATGGTCGGGTTCTATAACCATATGGCTTAACACTTTACCTTAAACCAAAACCATTGCAGCACTTCAGAACATTGAACAAAATTATGACTCCGATATGTTGATGATGCATTTTGTGATATGGCCACACAACTCTAATCTTCCGTGGGAATTCCTACTACATCTTAATGCACAACACAGCACTATCGCTTTCATCATGGAAACTGAGTCAGATAGATCTATCCTGTTTTTTAATGTACGTGTTAGCAGGACCACCAGCAACTCGCTATTGTACAAGGTGTACCGCAACATGCTTTATCTCACAAAAATTTCCCTAGTTTATGATGCCAATCCTTTCTTGATATTTGAGTCGACCTACAATTTGGAAATGCCTCGCCACATTGAAACCATTTCAGAAACCCTTAACAATTGGATAACTGACAGATGGAAGCAAACTTAAATATAGCGCCAGGACATTTTCAATCACACGTCGGTGGTCCAAGGACTTTTAACTGTTACCAGGATAGGAAGCTGGCTGGTTTAAGCCGTCTAACTTGAATTAGCCTTATGTGCGGTATTGTTATACAAATGAGCCAGATAAGCACAATCTGCACATGCTCAGAAAAACAAAACTTTCCTTAGCCACACTGCGTATCGGCTAGGCTTACAGCAGCTAGGCCTAGCTTATCTTATTTTTGTTTGTTACGCACCACTGATTTAGGCTGTTTGTCATTACTTCAAGATGTCTACCAATTCGTGGAAAAGGCGTATTAAAATCCAAATATTGGTGTTTGTGAGTAATACATTTTAATTTTATATAGGTAAGTAGTAAGTATATGAATATTTTTAATGCACTAGTTAGTTGATAACTTTATTCTAATTTGTTTTGGGTTTTTTTTTGCATTTTTATAAGCGGTTAGACATGGCCTAGGCCGGGTCTAGGCTAGCCTAATCACATCAATTTAAAATCAAATTTGTAGACATAACTTGCCTTATATCTTAACTTGCAGGTGATTTTATTGGTAGACTAGTTTGTTTTTAAGTGTGTAAGTATGATTGATTTGTATGCCAAGTGAAATTAGTACTGTCATTTTGCTTTGTTTTACCGCACCGTAATTCTCGGCAAAGGCCTAGCTGTACGCCTAGCCGATACGCAGTGTGGCCATGGTGTGGCTAAGGAAAGTTTTGTTTTTCTAAGCATGCGCAGATTGTGCTTATCTGGCTCATTTGCATAACAATACCGAACATAAGGCTAATTCAAGCCAGCCAGCTTCCTATCCTGGTAACAGTTAAAAGTCCTTGGGTGGTCTAGAAATTTACTTGTGCGGATCCGGCCCTAATACTGTAGACATAATTTTGTTTTTGTACAGAATACACACTCAAACGTATGATTTATATTTTTCCTTAAATATTGTTTTATAACGTGCATTACTCTAACATCCTAATTTTCTCGCCTCCTTTCTTGGATGTGTAATTTTTGCTTACTCTACTATTAAAGGCTCCAAGATTAAATAAAATAAAATCACCTGCAAGTTAAGATATAAGGCAAGCATTTTCATAAATTTGATTTTAGATTGATGTGATTTTGTTTTGTAGTATTACAATGAACATGACATAGCTTAACCGCTTTATAAAAATGCAGAAAAAAGACCTAAAACAAATTAGAATTAAGTTATCAACTAGTGCATTAAAATTATTCATATACTTACTACATACTAATATATAAAATTAAAATGTATTGCTTACAAACACCAATATGATCATTGGCGGGAAATGTTTTCAACACATTAGACACTACTGATCATGTGCAAATTGTGCTTAAATGGCTCATTAGCATAACAATACCACACATAAGGCTCATTCAAGATAGACCAGCCAGCTTCCTATCCTGGTAACAGTTATAAATCCTTGCTTATACTCCTACATTTTTCAAGTCATTAGGTCAGCTTTACCCACCAGTAGTAATTAAGTAGTAGAAAAAAAATACATACTTTTACACAAGCTAAAACTCACCCCAAAAATAATTACTACTGGGATAAATACAAGAGCTGGAAATGCAGTAAAATATGCATGTAAATAAGCTACTCTGACTATATTAAAAAAAAAAAAACTGGCTTGTCAATCAAAGAATCAGAAACCATTCTGGGCTTCTGTTAATTTAAAAAAAAAAAAAACATAAAGCACTACTCCATCATCATTTCACATTGATGACAAACCAGTTAATGATCAACTCTTAATAGCTAATAAATAGAAAGATTAAAAGAAAACTTACTGTTTGAAGTTTGATCTGTATTTTATGAATAATTTGAAGGGAGAGATTACATTGAGATCATGCTCGCACATGAAAGCCAGAAATGTGGCAGCTGAAAATAGAAAGATGACGTGCCGATGATGGTTTGAAGTGCTGAGGGAGGGGGAGGAGGGAATGTAATCTCTCCCTTCAAATTATTCATAAAATAGTTTTTGTTTATTCTTTCTATTTTATTTCATAATTTTAGGTAGAAATTAAATTGAGATTTGGAAGCCCAGCTGTCACACAACCAAACTATGCAGTTCTCATAAAACAAATTCTGTAGAACACCAACAAAGTTAACCGTGAACTAATAAAATACATGTAAACAGTATGATGTATCTATTTCATAAGTCCTTTAATGAAAGCATTGTTACTCTCATTTGACTGTAATGGTTTGTTGTAATATTTCCAGAGTCCGGTCATTGGACCAACCAGCTTGTCTTAAGATCGTTGACACAGGGACATCCGCCTTCATCGACGAGAAGTTGCTGCCGCCCTTGTTGAGTGAGGCCTGTACCTGGACA